GTAGTGTCATAAGGAGTGGGTAATATCCGATGTAGAATTGGTCATGCGTAAATCGGCATAGAAAATGGAACACAGTTACCAGGAATCTATCCTCCTTTTTGGGAGAAATATCAAGCTGGGAAAAGATCAGACCGGTAAGATATCCAGGTGATGGTTAAATCAGAACGAAGAGAGCAAAAGAGGCATCCTATCTGAAGCGTGATAGAAACTTCAAACTGCAAAATAATAATGATAAGGTTTATTCCCAACTTGTGGGTGGCATACCGTCTTGCATGATCATAATTTTACCACCAGAATGGAGAATGACCGGGGGATTTGTGGGAGTGCGGACTGCACAAAGAGAGGACAATATCATAAACACTGGGGAATACCCTATGGTATGGTAATAATAGGGTAATTCCCAACTGGTTGGGAACAATAAGCATGAGGTCTGACTAGTTCAAAGACAGTCAGGTGGCAAGAACTAAAGCTGAAATCTATTGCTGACCATGAGTGACCTTGGGTGGTTAGGTAAATGGCCGGAGTCACAACTGTAATTTGCCGACAGATGTCAAACCGCGCGCCATCGTTAATCACAATCTCTTTTGTCTACTTTTAGAAGCGACGGCGGTAAAGATGGCAGAAAATGAAGACAGCCCTGAATACCGTACAGAGGAAATTGATAGCCCTCTCCAGTGACTAACACCGTTTGTATGTTTATGTGCTTGTACCCCGTTCCTCGTTGTTGTTCCACTCCCTTCCTCGATGCACACGTGTTCAGAGGATCGGAGAATAAACTGTTCAGCTTACACTCTTATGCTTCTGTGTGGACGGTTGCCGAGAGTTACCAACTTAGTGATTCATCCAACTAATACGTCGCATTCTCCCTTTCAGCCCACCCGGATGCTATTCTCAGAACATCCACACAGTGAGTTTGGATGCTTTTATACACGCAGAAATATTATACAATGGGCAAAAATGGAGATGGAGATGGCATAATCCAAACTGGAAGTACATGACAAGTTTTGTCTTAAAAATGTGGTTTAATATGAAAGTAAGCAGACTCACTGGTTGCACTGTTATAGGGAAGTCAGGTGCCGGGGAATAGGTTGGATGGGGGCAAGTTGCTAATACATAGGGCGGCCCGAACTACGCATACGGATTTGAACTTTTGCAAGAGGCAACCCGAAGTTGTAGAAGAAAATTCAGGCTAGCCAAATCTGAGCGAAAATTCATTGGGTACGGAGGAGCTCATCCAGAGACAGGGCCGGATAAGAACTGCTCGAACTTATGGCTACAGGCTTTGGTGGGCGAGGGGTCACACCTCTGGAGAAAATAGGTGCGGGAGTGCCATCTCACTGGGATAGACAGTGCCATCTCATCATTGCACTGACATGCTTCGGTTTATGGACAGCCCCGTAACGGCCGTCAAGGGTCGGAGAGGGGATACGCAGTTCCGTGGCAGCTGGTTCTGGGTGAAACGGAGATCGACACAGGGGAGCATGCAGATGTAGGTCCACGGATAATTTCCTTTTTGTTGGAGGACCGGGCGAGTGTAGGCCGAGCACCAGCCAGTTTGAATGAATAACAGCTCTAGGGGGCATTTGGGCAACTGCAGTCGATGTTTGGGGAACCAGAATAACAAAGCTGGTGCAGCGGCAGGGTTACCACGATCTGACCGGTCAATGTGGATTAAAGTCTGAAACAACCGACCGGGACTTTTCGGCCTCGGATTGTTGGGCTTACGGCCAGGATCACAAAAATCGTAGTTAAGAATGATGGAATAGAGAAATCAGCAATGCGGATAAATGGTTGCAGGAGACTGACTGTTTCGGTGTACATTGAAGCTGTAGAAACTCACTAGTGCCACTGTTGGAATTAAGTCGGTTGTGAAACTTCCTTGAAGAAGGGAATCAGTGCTACGCACAAAACTAACGCGAACTGAACCCCTAAGCAGTCGTTATTGTAGCTTGTGCATTATTAAAGAATTCCAGTCGTCTGATAATTTTTCGGGTCGGGAGAAAGCCCGGCCGGTAAAACCGCTTGGTCAGTTCGATCAAGTAAACGGCCGCTTAAAAATAAGGTCGCGAGGGTAGCAAAGAAAATGACAGCTACCTTTGAAGCAATATATGTAGAACGGAGATAATCCTAGCGTGTGCACAATGGCTTAACGGAGATGGAGTGTGTGGCAAAGAAATAAAAATAGTAAGGCTAGGTTGGGTATACAGTAATAAAGAGGTCAGATGGAACAGACTCACTAACAATTGTTTCGAATAAAAAGTTCATTGTTCGCTCAGGTCAGCGAATAAACAATAATCGGATTATGTTGGTCCAGGGGTCTTCTTATGAACAGTTTCCACATATAATAGATTCCGAAGGTGGTCTGAAATTTTTTGATACCAGAGTTAGTTCATGAGACCCGCGAATAACCGCTGGAAGCGCGAGCGAAATCAGAAGAGAGAGTCGAATCACGTGCTCGCCTTTGTATTTTGTGAAATTGTCTAAGTGCGAGTTTTTGTAGTTTTTCGACCTTTTGTATAACGCGTTTTTCAAAAAGGTGGCTTTTTTGTGTCGAAGGCGAGAATGCTCGATGTAAGAGGGCAGAGACTACTCGCTCGGGCAACGTGGAACTGAACTTGGTGGGGACAACCAAAGGCACAACGGTGTGAAAACAACGTCTTTGATCTATGTGGAATGAGTGGCAGGTTTGCCGTTGCCGAGTCAGAGAGTGTGCGTATTGTTCTATCTGGTGAAAAGTAAGAGTTATGGCAGAGGCGAAAATGGCTAAGTGGCTTTTGTATCGGCCTGCAATGAAATGCGGCCATGAAGATGTGAATACTGTGGGGTCTAGCGAGCTCCCTTGAATCACATCACCCCACGACGGGCAAGAGGCGAACCATTGGAATGAAGATTCATTGATGCCAAGTTTACGTGGCAGAGGCGCATGCGGGACCTGGTCAAAAGCATTTTGGATATTTAAGATGTTTTAGACACTCAAATAAACCACAACAGTAGAGCGCCTGGCATCTTATACTGTCGTAACGGTCTCAAAATTGAAGTTGGCAGGCAGCGGCGGACTTCTGGTGCAGATAGTGGTATAACGGGTCATCTGCGGCATCTTTAGCTTGAAAGAGCCCCGTTATCCCAGTCTTGCCCAGACGTTCAAGGGTTCATCGTAAAAGAGAAGTATAATGACTACATCTGTCGTTTGAAGTAGTTTGTCTGGATTCGGATCTGAATTGAGGGCGGACTTCGAATTTTTCAACTGGCAGGGGGCGATTTTAGAGTTGAGTGTGTAAAAACTTATTGATCGCCATAACTCGGAACTCTGGATGGTGTACCGTCGTCCGCTAGCGCGACGGGGTCCTTAGGAATCTGAAGTAGGGAAGAAATATCAGCTGGGGGGTGGATATGTTGCCAAGATGTAGATGGTTTCTTTGATGTGCAGATGCGAAACGTGCCACAGGGATTATCGGTTTTGGTTTTGAAGAGACGGCCAAATAGCGGCCAGAAAAACAAACGATCAGGTGTTCAGCTACATTGACACGTTCGGTGATGAAACGACCTTCCGTGGAACACAAACCAGTAATCGATTAATCTTTTAGGGTACAAATCCCACGGAACTGGCGGCTGGGTAATTCAGAACAAGAAAGAGCTTAGAGTGCGATGCTCTTTTCACGGCATTTCAGAGACACCCACAGGAACTATCGGTCAGTAGAGGACATACAGATAAGATATACTGATGAAGAATCGCGAGATATCCGATAGGCTTTTGCCAGTGCATTTTGGTAGCTAATTTTTTCAGTAACGTATCATGGCATGAGACACCAGGGCGAAAACATTTTTATGGAAGAAACAACGTCGAAAGCGGCAAGTCAGTTGTGGTGGAAGATATTACAAAAGCGTTTGGCGTTCACTCTAAATTAAGGCCGATCCAGTCCTGGGAGGCCGGCAAGAATGAAAGAGCCAGTAAAACGCCTGGAGAAGGGAGATGATAGATAGAAGGATTCGGGGTGATATAGTTGGGCCATAACTGACTGTGTTGCAAGAAACGGCGCGGTAGTCAAATCTTGGTAAGCATGGACCAACTGGGGCCACAGCCAGGCGAGCTTCAATTGACAATGTTGGGTTTAGGGTATGCGTGCCACGAGTAAGTCCACGTGCGATCTCGGTTTAACCCTTTAAACTAAAAGGACGAAACAGCGCAATCTGACTTGTCACGTGACACGAGCTGCCGCGTCGCGCCGCCAAACGAAAGACAGTCCTGCACGTCCAAAGCCTACTGATTGCTGCGCGGTTATCTCTGTATACGGTCAACTCACGCTGTCAGACTGCCCCTATATGGATGTTTGTATATCGTTTAGTGCTTACTTTTTTGTTGCTTCTGGAAATCCCTGCTGCCTCGGTGACTATTTTCCGCCCCTGCTGATTGCGCCATTATTGACTGTACGTTTGCTTAATTAACATGCTTACTAATCCGCTTGTCTGTAGAACCAGTTCCTGTCAGTCCTCATTACACCACCTGCTGATCACGCCTCTCTGCTCCTACTGTCTACTGGCTACGAACTGCGCATAAATTAATAGCCGCGATCATCCTGTGAGATCCATATCCGCCCGGATTTTACATGAGTCCCCTTGTGTGTCACTCACGCATGCGCCAGTAGGGTGGACGATTGGGCTGTTGATCATCTAGTCGACCGTCACGAGCGACAGAATTGTGGCACTACAAGACGCAAAGCCGCAAACGAACAAGAGTGAACAGACTTAGAATTGGAGAAAAACCAAAATATAAATCGAGGAGATCAAGCCACTGGCACGAACTGGCACGAAACCGACAAATTCCGAAAGGATGAAGAACGGCTTAACGAGTTGTCCATCCAAGTGCAAACAAATCGGCTGGCACAAGAAAGAAAGAACTATATCAAAGGGGTCGTGCAGCCAGACAACCAAACTCTAGGAGGTAAGACCACGATGAAACCTAAGAACTGACCAATTAGGCTGAGGGGAAGAAACTACTAAGAATGGAAATCACCTGCAAAACCAACCAGATTCAAGGAAGAAAGTCCACAACGCAACACAAAAGAGAACAAACCAATCAAAAGCGGACCAACAACACCCAAATGAAGCTATCCAAACAACCAATGGAATGCGATATTCACATTCCACTGTGCAGCGCGAATCGCCATCGGGCCAAGAATATTAAATGAATGGTGCATACCGATTGACCAGACACATAAGAGGATGTTGGATACAAATAACTCGATATGTCAGTTTTTCCCATGAAAACTGAAGGAATCCATAAACAAAAGGAATCACTGTGTTCATCGACGCAGGAAACATTCCTACGTGAACAATTTTCCCCGGAAGCTTTTGATAACTACTTCAGTTTCCCCGGTTAACTTCGTGAAAACAATTTTGAAAGTGTGCTGCATTTGAAGACACAAAAATACACAAATAAGAACAACGGGGTGGACTTATGATGGTTCTATATTGTCGGTGTACGTTCCAGAGAGATGTTCATATTCACTCAAGTGCGTCTTGTACAAAATCCCTGAGATGGTGAGCACTTGGCATATTGCAGTTGGAATCAGAACTCCAATTACGGAATTGCACTGCGTTTTTCGAAGCTCTTCTATCACATCAATGCAACCCTAAAAGGAAAGGGGGTAAGTTAAATATGGACTCATTTTTAGTATGCTGTGATAAGAATGGAAATAGTTCAATGTTTGAATCAGCATGTCAGGTGACGCGCAGCAGACCTGAAGGCAATGCGGAAATGCGATATGTTTAGAATGAATCTCTCCAGCATATTGTCCCACTAAGCAAAACCAGCGGTCTATTCGGGACTAGCAAATCTTAAGTACACAAGATTAGATTATGTTCAGAAACAAACTAAAAAGAGTGGAATATCTTCAATGAATATTGGTTGTTGAATCAATGAGGTTCAAAGGCTGTGTGGGTTTGTTCTGCAACGAATTGCAAAATAATACGGCGTAAGGGGCGAGACTCAACTGTATGTATCATTCATGGAAACTTGCTTCAAAGAGACTGTCGTGTGCTTTACACGGAACACTATTCAGTATATCAAAGTGCTTTTCTTGTCATGACATTACTTACAGGCTGAATGAGTAACACAACAACCTGGTACCGATTTAACGAACTTCAAACCCTCTAACTAGGACTGGTCTCTCAGTTTCCAATAATTTATTTCGTGCGGGGAAACCAAGCAGTATAAAATTGGAATTAAACAAAAAATCAATGAAATAAAATTATTCTTCACGGTAGTGCTTCATCTGAGACATGGAGGGACCTGTGTTGTAGAGTTAATGCCTCCAAAAAGTGTTTTTTTTCGGGAGAGCAAATCTCTTGAAGCCGTTCAGAAAGAGTTCAGATTTCTCTTGGCGTTTTATGGAATATCCCTAGTGGTTTTTGATGAGATGAGAGCTTACCCGTACATAAGGTTTTAACGAGCTTGTTATGGCTTATTGGTTAAGGTGCAAAACTACTAACCAGAATATTCGTTGTTCGGACCCAAGTGAGACTGCTTCTCTTAGGGTTCGGATCACTTGGCACTATTTCCACCCTTGTGCTTCCTTCGATTGGCATGGCAAATAGACAGAGTTCAATGCGTATTTTTGTCCGTATATTGCTTGTAAAATTTTGGTTCCCTTCTTTGTTACCTAGGACATACCGTGACTGGCACCAGTGAAACCGTCAAACTTAAGCCGTGCTTCACAGCTTCTGTTTAGACGAGCCGCTTTCTCTCCGTAGGTGATAGGAATATACTTATCAGTACCATGTTCTCTAGTGCAACCCTTGACAGCCTACCTAACAGGCAAGTTGCGACCAACGTAATCAGACCATGTTACTCAGGTACATCCAGATGCACATTTACTTTCACGTCAACTTGATACCCAATCATTTCAGTAAGGGAAGACAGACCGGTCAACCAGCAAAGCAATTCTGTCTTCCACGTTGTTGAAGCCAAACTATCGGTGGTGCGCCGTTACGGCAACAACAATCGGTACAACAAGTTCAAAGATCCGGGATGTTTTCAGGAGTCAGCAGAATTACGTAAACATCAGTAGTCGTACACCAAAACAAAGTCTGTCACAAAAAAATGACGGCGTCAGTCGCGGCTGGTGTTTTTCTCCGACAACTAGCTTCCGCGGTTGACTCGGATTTGCGCGTTCAAACAGGCCTACCCACTCGTCCGATTGATTTTTGGGCATCCAGAAGAACAGAAAGATACCAAAAAGACCAGTTCGTCCAACTGGGTCGGTATAATATCCAGCCAACTAGACCAATATCAAGGCATATGTTGTAAGTGTTCTGATGGCCTAATGATGTCACCGGCTGCTCGTCCACTGATCACCGTTGACGGCGAATCTGATGAGTTCGTAGGGTATCCTCTGAAGTAATGTACTAGCTATTTCTGGAACCAGAATGAGCCATAATATCGATTCTTCGTCAAGGTCACGGAGAATGTCCTCTCAGAAGGAATGTTTCTACTTTGAGGCTTCCCTTGATGGAGTAGGTGTATTACTCCCTGCGGTTGCTATACATAACTCACGATCTTACAGTCATCTAAAGATTTACTCCATGATAATCAGATTTCCTCAGTCCATCTGATTATTAGCATGGAGCAAGCGGTTAGAAATTGTCGGGACTTTTGTTTCGAGTCCTTAGAATTACTCGGAGCTTTTCACCGTACAATTGAAGTTATTTCCTTGGCATCGCGACTCGTATCATGTTCTGTTTGACTAAAGCATCAGTGTGTTACGGCGGCTGGTCAACAAATGTACTTTTTCACCAAGTGAGGTAGTCATAGAGTCACATCCAAGCAGCGCGCAGCCAATCTGTGTTCTGGGGAATAAACGGTCCCATCTATGCTGGCTAAATTGAGGTTTTTTTTTACCTCTGCCAACCAGTAAATTAAGTCTGCACGCGCCCCATCTATGTGGCTAAATTGAGGTTTTTTTACCTCTGCCAACCAGTAAATTAAGTCTGCACGCGCTGAAACGCCGAGGAACATCGTACTGCTGTTTCACCTTTGTAAGTACTCGTCAGAAATGCGCATCTGGTAAATATCTAGGGCAATTCTATTCCGCCACCACCACCATTCGGCCACGGGCGGCGGATCAGCTGTGATTAATTCTCATCAAGAAAGGGTAAAACGTACCTCACCTTTTAGTCACGGAATCCGTACCATGTGCTGAATTGTTGACCTGATCCTTAAAAACGAACACTCAGCTGGGAAATTCACGCGTCGTATGAGTTCTTGCTGTTTCATAGCTATTTATGTTCTTTGGTGGAGAAGATAGGAGGAAATATGCAGCCACTTGGCGCCTTGTCAGCTAAAATGACTTTGATGTAGGCATAATAGGAATTAAGTAACCATTCCAAGGGATAGTACATAGATTTATTGGATACTGTTCCAACTGACGCATAAGTGATTATACGGAATAATTAGATAACAACATCTTAGTTTGTGTCATATTTGTTCTAGGGCAAACACATTCGAATCACTATAAGTGATTCGAGAGGATGATTTCGCCCTGAACTCCATTCCCCATTCGGTACACCGTAACGATGAGACCAGATACGCACTCTTTACTCCGTATAATGATAGCGGCAATGTTCTCCCAAGGGAAGAAAACCGTGTTGGAATTATTTCAGTAAATTTAATGACGCCTGTTGGGAAGGTATCACTAGCAACTGGCCTCCTTTTCGCCCTGTCAATTAGCTGGGGGTTGGGTTGGACAGCTGTCAACAGGATCCAACTTCTCCTACAAGCTCGCCATTACGGACGTGACAATTGTTGGCCATTCTAAGGAAAATACACTTCAAATATGCAAAATAGCTTCCTACTGCCTATTTTGTTCAAGGGTTTTGTGGAATTTGGCCAGAACATTTGTTAGTTTAGTTAAAATATCATCCTTCAGAACTTATTAAATTTCGGAATGACGGGGATCACAGATAAACTGCTCATCATTTTAGCTCTGCTGCTTGGTTTACAGGTGCTTCGTGATACATATCAGGCAGTCGAGAGGCAAATTCACCGTCGTTTGCTGTACACAATTCAGTCCTGGCAATAATACTTCTGATGACAAGAAGAGAGCAGAAAAATCTACCAGTCCAATATGACCAAAATACCGACAAACTGACAACAACAACAGGACAACCTGAGTGACTAGCTTTATGCGCTGTGCACCGCCCTCAGAACATGGGAGAAATCACGTGTTGGTTGATCCGTGATTGCCCCGTTCTCCTAAATTTTACATTGCAATTTTACGATGCTTTTACTTCCACGAAACAGTCAGAAAACACTGAAACAGCAGGCTTTTATAGAGGGTAGTTGGTTGAGTGGAGAACTACTGAGCCTGTGTAATGCACTACTCATAGGGCTACTGAAAACCCCTCGACAGCCCACGACCGGTTTCACCCTACTTGGGGCTTAGCAGGTAGGTGCAATCCCCGAGTTTCCGTCAATCTTATGTTCTACTTGAAACGAAATTTCACGAAATTAGCGAATATACATTCATTTGTGAACTAATTTGGTTTTTCGAGAGACTAACCTGGAACCCAGCTGAATCTTTCGGCTTTTGATGTTTCCCAGGCAACTAATGTGCTGTACCAGGCCGCCTCGTTTTTCAGTCGAGATATCGCGAAGCATCAAAACCGAGAGACCCAGCTGGATTCCAGGTGGGCCTCTCGAAAAAACCAAATTAGTTTGCAAATGAGTGTATATTCGCTAAATACTAAGCTTGTGTTGGGCTACAGTGTCCAAATAATAGATGCACGCACGGTGCACGACCTCGTTCGCGACCTCAACGTCCTGAAACGGTACCCTTTGTCGTGTCTGACATTTGCGTTTGCACTGTCACACGGAGACGGGGATAAAGCGCATTACCAGTGACAAGAATACCTACTTGAAATCCAGTTGACATGCAAACGAGTGTATAGGTCGAATCTGTCCAATCTAGGTTCAAGTGGAACATAAGATGGACAGAAACTCGGGGACTGGGCCTACCTGATGATCTCTAAGAAGGGCGAAACCAGTCGAGGGCTGTCAAAGAGTTTCCAGCAACATTGTGAGTAGTTTCTGTTATAAAAAATCTACTTGAACTAATCACAGACATTCCTACCGTAGACTTCTAATCGAAACCATTGGATTCACGTGGACGTCGCAACTACTTGAAAAATT